CCCGGGCGCCTCCTGGCCGGGGTCATCGTGGGCCTGCAGGTCTCCGGTTGCGCCCCTCAGCGTGTCAGCCTGTCCGGTGAGTAAGCCTCCCGCGACCTCACTGTCTCCCGAGGTCGCTGCGGACCCCGAACCTGGGCGGAGCGGGTCCGGCAGGGAGTCCGGACTCGCCCCGGACTGCACCCTCTGGAGCCCGGCTCGGGACCAGGGCTTCTGCGTCCGGACGCTGAGCCGCAGGCTAGATCGCCATCTGGACGACGGGGGAGGACGGGGTCTGTCCATCCCGGCTGTTCCTGTGGTTCCTTTCCAGCCAGGGGCAACGTATCTTTTAGAAGAAAGACACCAGTCTTTTGTATGACACTTAAATAGTAGGACTGACAAGTGTCCTTTTTAATGCTACATAAGAATAGTCTCCCAAACAGAAAGTCAGGGGTCGACCGCATAGCGATGACCTCGGTACTTGATCATGCTCCTTTTACTCAGACCCGCTATTTCTGCGCAGAAAGAATAGTTACTTTTCGTTGGAAATTCAGGCTGGAAAAATGAAGTGGGATGTTTCAGTGTTTGATCTGTCACGATAAAGGTTTTGTGACCTTCAAGTCTTTGCTGCCCTTCAAGTCTGAGCTGCCGAGGTCTCAAATAGCACGTTAATGGTGGCGAGGGGACACAGCTGTGAAGGACGCAGACGAGGAAGGGGGGAGAGAGGACCCTTGCAGCTTTCTAGAATTAAGTGGTGGCCAACACGTCTCAGACACGTAGAAATGACATACCGTGTGGAGACGATGTACTGTGCGCACATTTTTATTCGTAAGAGGGGAACACGAGATGGGAAGAACCAGCATTTGCGTACCTGTCGCTTGGGAGGTACACCGGTTATGGGCTCTGCATACACAGCTCGCTTCCTGTAACGAAGCTGTTGTACTCTTCTGAGGCTCAAAGATTTATGTGCTTATGTAACAAGGGTGAGTTCAAACTTAGAGCTACCTTGCTCCGAAGTTACACATCAGATGACTTCTGCCTACTTCAAATGTTACACACCCTAAAGGTTGAAGTGAAAAAGCATTTTTCAGCATTTTTTCCTGATACTGGTCTCAACACTCCTTGAATATCTAAAATCCAGACCCCCTGATTTAGTACTTTTAAACAAATTATTCTCTCAGCCCATCCCTCACAGAGCTGCTCATTAAGACCCTAAAAGGCTGTTCCAGATCCACTTTATTGTATTTGTACCAGAAATGGTAGGACTGGACTTTCCTCACAAAGGCCCTTCCCATGTTATATAGGTTTATGGTTTTACAGTTGAAAGTATGAGCCACGGGGTGTTGGTCTTCAGTGTGAATGGCTAATGTCTGTAGTCACAAACAGTAGAAAAACTTGTTTCTTATAAGTTTTATTTCAATACCCAAAATATGTTAAATATCAATATAAAGAATGAGGCATGATAATATATTATTTCACGTTCGTTTTGAGGTTTTTAAATTTTGAACTAGTGTCTGCTGTACCAGTTTTTGAATCTCTTTTATTTATCCTATTTAGTTAAAGAGAAACCTGAGGCATTAAAGAGGTGGTCACATTTAAATGACTTAGTAATGGAAGGCGCTAAATTATTCATGGTTTCCAGTCATATCTATCCAGACCTGCAGTGTTCTTATAATAGTAGGAAACATTTATGTAATACTGTGTACCACAAACCTATCTAAATGTTTAACTTATGCCCCGGGTGGCAACATGAGATAGTTTTTAGATAAGCAACTAAAGCAACAAGGATAGCATATCCAAGTCATGTACCTACAGAACAGTAGGTTTGACTGTCAAACCAGGCGAGATCAGAAACTTTATTCCAACATTTACTGATTATCTCCTGTGTACAAACCCCACAAATAGATGCTTTTATTATGGTAAAGTGTTTATCTTTGCAACTACCTTATTCAGAATAATGTTGAATAGAAAGAAATTCAGCAATAAATAACTTGCCCTAAGTCCCAGAGTAAGTATACAATGGGAACGAGGACTGGAATGCACACTTACCTTACTTTGGATTGTATGCTTTTTGCCCTGCTCCTTGTTAATCAAGTCTTCATTACCTACTTTCAGTGGACTAGACCCTGTGGCTGGGTGCTAGCAGTGTAGTCTTCACTGTGAAGGAATACAGTCCGAAGAGGGAAGGAGACAGTTAGAGAGTGTGTGAGCAGGAGCAGAGCAGTGCACAGTGGTCCAGTGGGAACAGAAAAGGCACTGAGAAATGGGAAGGCTTGGGCCACTCTCAGGAGAAACAAATGGGAATTCGCTTGAGTGGGAAAAATGTAGGGATGGTTAGGGGTTGAGTTGTGTCCTTTCAGAGTCCTTATGTTGAAGCCCTAACCCCCCTTGGACAAGGGTTTGGGGAAGATTAAGTTAAAAATCATCCACTTGGGTGGACATTCAGCAGACAGCTGACTTTATAAGCAAAGAAATTTTGGATATAAGAAGAAATACCAGAGAGGCAGCCGTTCAAGGGAAGTCCAAGGGAGGATGTGTCAAGAAAGCCAAGGAGAGAGGCTTCAGGGGAAATCAAACCTGCTAACACCAGTCTTGGACCTCAAGCCTCCGGAGTTTTGAGAAGATAAATTTTGATTGTTTAAACCACACAGGCTATGGTATTTTGTTATGGCAGCCCCAGCAAACCAATAAACATGGAGTTTCAAGCAAAGGGCATGACATACAAAAGGCCTTTTAGGGCTGGCCACAACATGATCGTGGTTTTGTTGTGAGAAGAGACAATTGAGAGATGACCTTGAAGTGTAGGCTGGGCCAAATTAAGAAGATTTTGCATGAGATCTGAAGGGGCTTTAAAATGTCCTGAGGAAGGTGGAATGTGTAGCAGGTTTGCATGTTGTTAAGTCTGTTCTGATCCTTGGGGAAGACAGATTATAGGGTTACAACTGGTCACAGAGAGACTAATTTAGCAATAACTGTAGGAGACTACACTAAGGAGGCTGTCTGGACATTGAAATACCAAACTGAAATAGCACCTTTGTTAATATAAGGAAGACTATAAAAGGGATAGCTAACACTTAAGACGTGCATAAGAAAATTTAGAATTTGTATATAGCCGTTTGTACATAGACACTGCCTGTGCTCTTGCCATTTCGTGTTCCCTGTATATGTCACAAAGCTTTAACCAGTTGCCACAGCATAGTCAGTATTTTTCCATTCTAAAGTGTGATTTTACGTATCTAATAGATCCTTTTATAAATCCAGTTCTCTGAAGCCTTATGAAATACCTGCTATTATCTTCACTGGCCACTTCAAGGTAACTGAAGCACAGAGAGGTTAGGTCACATAGCGAATAGCTGAGTTCAAATTCAAACCCAAGCATTCAGCCTTTAGGGTCTATATCCTTGGGCCTATAGTATGCCCTTGTGTCGTTCATCAAGATCTTTAGTTACTTGTTAAGAAAGAGGGGAGGAATGAAAAGTAGAGTGTGTTTGCTGTAAGTTAGACACTTTACAAGGGAGGTGAGCAACTACAATGAAAAAGTCTTCTGGAGAAAAGTACAGTGGTGAGAGGCAATGGTGACTTTGAGTTTGGGCTTCTGGGAAGGCGTGGTGGAGAAACAGTGCTCAGCTGGTGTGCGAAGCATTTGACTTTGGGCGCAGAATGAGGAGAGGACATCAGAGGTGGAAGAAATTGCATGAACAACATCAGTGGGTTGGGAACCTCCTAGTGTGTCTTGGGAGCTACAAAGTGCATCCTGTTTTGGCTGCAGTGTATTGTGTGGCCCAGAAGGAAGGTGGAAAAGCCAGTTTGCTAGGAGGGCACAATGTCGGCTCCATGGAGCAAGGGAATGGAGCGGTTCCAGCCTGAATGACTTAGGAATAAGCCAGATGTCCTTATCTCTTAGGAAAGGAAAATGTTCACTATGCCAACCCACCAGCGAGCAAGTCCTGTGTTCCCTGACAGATTTCTGTATTTCCATTTTTTTTTTCTTTTTTTCCCCGGTACTGGGGATTGAACTCAGGATCTTGCACTTGTGAGGCAGGTGAGGTGCCACTGAGCTGAATGAATCCCTGGCCCTAAGTTCAGAGTTTTTTTGACAGGGTCTCACTATGTAGTTGAGACTGGCCTGGAACTATGTAGCCCGGGCTGGTTTTGAACTCACAGAGATCCTCCTGCCTCAGCCTCCCGAGTGCTAGGATTACAGGTGTGCACCACCATGCCTGGCTCAGACTTTTTAATTGGACTAGTTACATTTAAATTTACAAACACCTTCCCCATAATCCTTTCCTCACGTTGGTCTCTATACTGCTAACAAAATGGCTCTGCCTGCTGCTTACTTTGGAGTCTATTTTTTTTCTTTTTATTGAGTTTATTGGTACAATCTAGGTATACAATACAGTTACATTCATTATTGGGATCCTGTACCTTTACATAATAGGTCTTTTTTTTTTGGTACCGGCAGTCGAACTCGGGTCCTTGCGCTTGCGAGGCAGGCCACCAAACCACTGAGCTAAATCCCTGGCCCTACATAACAGGTCTTGATTCTCACTTTTTCCCCTTGTCCCTGCCCTCCCTTCACCCTCTCCTCACCTCCCCATTTACAAACACTTTATTTCCATTTTTTAAATTTCTCATATTTTTTCCTCTCCCTTATTACCTTTCCCCCACCCTTCCCACTTTCCCTACACCTTTAGCCCTTTACTTCCTATTTCACATTATTAATTATCTCATTAGGATCCTGTGTACTATGATAGTGTTTCACACCAGAGAAACTATTTGGTATTTCAGTTAAAGAAATCTCTGTATGGACATTAAAAATAAGGAATCCTAAAATAAAACTAAAAAGGAAAGTAAAAGAGAAAAGGCAATGATGTAAGATTAAAATAACCCTTAATTCTGAAGATGAAAATGGTCCCTTAACATATTTAAATTGCTTATTGCTCTTGTAGTCTTATCTTATTCTTTTTTTTTCATTATTTAGAGAATACTTTATTAGTTTCTGTAATCACATGTAGATATGACCTTACATATTTAATACAGTGTGTTACCCCTGTACAAATGGAAAAAAAATAAAAAATAAAAAAATTGACATTTCTAGAC